GTAGGCCTCCTTTAAGGCTACCCACCTGCCACCCACCTTGACGTGCCCTTGAGCCACGTGGTTATAGTCCCCCTTAAGTAGATAGAATATGGGGTATATGGGGCTCGTATTGGAATATGTCCAAAAGCCATTTTCTATCTACTTAAGGGGGACTGTAAGGTTTGGGCTTTTGGGTTTAGTGTTGAGGGCTATCAGAAGACTTTTCACTCGGAAGCACAAAACTCCAAACCCAACCCAGGGTGGCCCCTGACCCAAGATGAGCCCAGGTCCCAACAAAAGTGCGGCATTCACGCAGACTAGCACGAAAAAAATCTGCGAGAATAAGCCCCTGAGTTTGAGTTGCGTATGCAAGGCAACTTGCCATCCGCAATCTCAGTGAAGTTGTACGGAGCGCTGTATACAACCCAGTGCACGTAGCGAGCAGCGTTTGTAACTGGAAGCCTGCCCTGATAACATTGAGACCGACTCTTGTATGCATACTCTTATCACTGCTTTGTTATTATTGCTGTTGTTGCTATGATTATGCGTGTTACTATTATTACAACTATTACTATTGTTTCTATTGTTACTATAACTACTACTGTTACTATTATTACTACTATTCGTGCTACATGGTCCTCTGGCGTCCCCGCTCGGAAGGTGAAGTAGGAGGGCAGCCTTTGATGGCACTGCATTCCGGTTTATGTGCTGCCCAGACCCCTGGGGGGGATCTAGAAAGCAGAACCCCCAATTTGGTGCGCTATACTACTATTGGGTAATTCCTAGGAACCCTTAAGGGCGATCTACTTTCTGGATCCCCCCAGGAGTCTGGATGTGTTAGGGTCAACAACAGGAGTTGAGCTTCCAATGGGAGAGGATATATAAAGGGTATTTGAGGGGTATGTTGGCACCATGGGGATAGATATACATATCTATATATATATATATGTATATATCTTTTCTCCTAAGGGATATGGAAATGTTATGTAACGCTCCTACATGGCAACTGGTAACGCCCCTCCTTTAATTGCCTAGATGCTTCTTGAAGAGACGAATACAGCGTGATAAGTGCGAGCATCAGGTTTCCTGCGCAGCTCCAGTTGCCATCCTTTGGAAGTCTTCTTGCACACGTTAGCTCAGAATAATGGAGTGGATCGAAGAGGGTTTATGAAAGTCTTCTTGCTAAGCTCTTCCTAACATGAACCTCTGCGATCCAAAAAAGCGCACAGACGTGCGTCGACCGTACATTATTAGTCATTAGTACATCTTAGCAGAAACAGAGCATGGCAAATGCACTGCTTGCTCTGCTAGAGGCATGCAAACAGAAGGTGGCGCGAACTTTGGTGGCATGCTCACCGTGGGTCACTGCAGATGACTACAAAAAATCACAGGTCCACCCTACAGTATACTGGTTACTCTTACGCTACTTAAGTTAAGTTACCATAACATTCTAGGGTAACTTTGGGCACTAAGGGTAAACCAAACTACAAACCCATGTTAAACTACCCTGCAAAATGAGTGTATAATACGTAATAGGGGTTCCATAATGTTCCATATTACAGTAGAATTTCTTTTCAAGAAAAGTTCCCTAGCAGCAACCCAATGTAATGACCTGGCTCTGAACCTTGCAGACTTCTAGCCTCGCCTGCGAAAGCCAACATGGCGTAGGCTTTAGGGTTTAGGGTTGAGGGTTTAGGGTTGATGGTTGAGGGCTTGGGGCTTAGGGATTAGGGTTGAGGGGTTGGGGGTTTGGGGTTGAGGGTTCGGGGTTTAGGGTTTAGGGTTGAGGGTTCGGGTTTAGGGTTTGGACATCCACTCAACCAGTGTCCACGTAATATGGACAAGAAGCTGCAGAATGAAGAGGAAAATGCAGAGAACGCCCAGGAACTGCACCTCAGATCAACCGCAAAACTAACTAGAGGGAGAGGGCTTGGGGTAATTTTTCTAGGAGTAGAGGGTTTGGGGTAATTTAAGTAGGAGTAGAGGGCTTGGTAATTTTGGGGGGCTCAATACCAGATTTACAGTTCACAGGTTACATGCAACAGTGGAAGGAAAAAGTCTTGGTTCACTTTGTTTACTCCGCACGCTAGGACTTAGAGCATTCTGCAGGGCTCACAGGTAATGCAATATTTCCTCCATGCATTGGATGACCAATCGTTTCCGAACGATTCCAGCAGCCCTCCTTGTAGAAATCGCTCCAGTCTTAGGCTGAACTGCGCAATCCATGCCAAGCACACCCGAAAGCACAAAGTCCAACTAGTTAAGAAAAATAGCAAAATTTCTGTCAGATACATTTCCCAATTCAGGTTCCTTCGTGCCACGTCGTGGACCCATGCTGCTTACCAAGACCCTCAACTACCCTTAAATAGTGTCTGCGTAGGTCCTATGGTCATATTTGTGGGGGCTCTGTGGAGGGTACCAGGGAAGTCAAGGAAGTTCCAGGTTTGAAGTCTTCTGGACAAGGGTTGCGGTGAATGGGAGCACAGAATAGGGTTTAGGGTTTAGGGCTTGGCATTTGAAAGGCCTGAGCAATCCCCATCACACCCCGACAGAATTTTCCAAGCCCCTGGCCCATGACCCTAAGGCGCAAAACCCAAAACCCCACCACCTGAAACCCTAAACCCTTGACCCCAAGTCCCTAAACTTAAAGCCCTTCCTACGCTCTAAACCCCTGAGCCCATAAGTCCTGGAACCCTAAAATCCTCACAACCCAAAACCACATGAAACCCCAAGACCGTGCGGCTTAGAAGCGAATTGGAAAAACAAGACCCAGCCTGCGCCCAACTCCCCAAGGTCCTGAAGGCTAGGGTTATGATGCAGGATTTGGGGTTCAGAGGCCTGAAGGAATCATACGAAGGCGTTGACTAACATAATGCCAGAACTATATATATATATACATGTGTATATATAGAGAGAGAGAGAGTATTGGGTGACAGCTTGACTTTCTAAAGGTCTAGGGTCAAGAATTTGTGCTCGGAATTCAGGATTGAAAGGTTCAGGCTTGAGGATAACTTAGAATTGCGGCTACCCTCGCCCAACAAATATGAAACCCATTACAGTCCTGCTTGCACTAGAAGTAACATCTGCGGGCCCCTTTTGTGTAGAACCCGGGGTTGGAAGCTTTCACACACGTGGCTGGCTGTACACTGTACATTGCACGAGAGCAGCAGGCCTCCGCCCATTGCAAGTGACCACACAACAGTTGATAGTCGGAATTGCTGGAATGCCCTTTTGTGTTCCCCTAAACCCTAAACCCTAAACCCTAGACTCTTGACTCCTAAGTGGGCAGTGACCTGGCCTGGTGCAGAAGCCGCATACCGAGCTCGGCATGTCTCTAGCTGCTGATGCGGGCAGCTTGCTGGTTAATATGGGGACTACCTAGGGATATAGGGGTTATATAAGGACTATATAAGGGTTATATATGGTAATGGGATTAAGGGTCCCTATTAGGGGTTCCTTGCAATAAGAGCAAGTAGACTACCCATGTCAGATTTTGGGGGGAACCCTCACAGGGTTCACCCTCTTTCGCAATCCGCATTTTGCTTACTAGCTAGGGCTATACACAGACAGACTCCGTGCAGCTTACAGATCAAGCTGCATATCCGTGCCGCGCTGCGCAGCCTATAAAATTGTTCAAAAACTCGTAAGCCTGGCAGTGCTCACAATTGCTGCAAGTCCCATCAGACCGATGATCACCACCGTGTTTTGGCAAACGAAACACTTTCACCGAGCGACCAGGAAAGTGCTTGCGCACCTGCATGCGGGCAAGGAAGGGTAGTGCCGAATTTCAAGCAGTCGTATAATTACTGGACAAAACTCGAGTATAGGAAAAGCAAAGTAGAAAACATATCCTGCAAGGCACATACCATCTGTCTGCGTTGGAATCACACTCTCCGAACTGCTCAATCAAAGCATCCACCACGGAGTCCAAGTCCGTGGTCGCCTGCCTTTCCCGCCAGGCCTGAGAATCTTTGACGCAGTTTCTGACGTGCTCTCGATGGCGTTGTTGGGGAGTTTTGCTGGTCCAGAGGGAGCCATGGTGCACGAGCGTCCCATCCACGTACACCTTCTTGCCCGGACCTGACTTGTCATGCTCATGCTGAAAGGGCAAGGGAATTCCAAAGCACACCCAGAAATGGGAACGCTTGCTGGAAAACACTGGCCAAGACACCAACGTCGATCTGAGAACCCTCGTGCCACAAGTGAGGGAAACAGCCATTCTTCACCCCTTCCAGCACAAGGTCACGATCGGGACCCTGAAGCCTCTGCGGGCCCCTGCCCAAGATCTCCAGCATCCGGCCGTGCTCGGGCTGGATCCAGTCATGCATAGATGATGCAGTTGGCAGCTCTTGCCGCATGGCTGGCACTTCCGACCTTGAAGCAACTTCCCTTGTGACAGCACCCTAGAAAGTCACGTGCGAATTTCTACAACTTAAGGTGTTGTTTGATGCCGACACCACACTAGCAGAGATTTGCAGTCTCCGGGCCCTGGGGATGGGTGGTGTCGATGATGACGCCATCAGCACCACACTTCGCATGGCAAAAGGCTTTGGGTGTAAGGCTTTGCGTATCTTACGCTGCATCTACCCCATGGAGTGTATCAACTCAGCACATACGCTAGCCAGATACCCTTCATGGCGTCTCTAAGCTAACTTGAATTTGCAATGCTAAGGGATGATGGCTCTGTAGCTTCATCCAGAAGCTCAATCAGTATACAGGATTCATACTCAGCCCTCTCGCACTGCAAGCCTTTAAAGCTTCCCATGCTATGCAAAAAGGGTTAACCAGTAATGCTTGTCGACAAGAATCGGCCCACAAAAACCGGACCTAAAGCGGTTGAAACCTACAGCTTATCTCTGGTTAGCAGGAACTGCAGAAATGAAAAAGAAAACGAAAACTGCCGTACTCTTGAGGATTATATAGGGACTACCACGAGGATCCATTTCCTCAGTCCTGGCTTTCTAGCGGCACCCAACTCCGATATCGCTCAGAAACCCTGTTCACAAGCAGAGGGGCTGAGCCCGAAGGCATTGCTGCGTAAAGTGCGGCCCGCCGCAGATTCTGCAGCAAATTGGCATGGCGCGGTGGATCTTAAAAGTCTTCGCAGCTGAAAACAAACTCGCTACGGGAGCAACAAGACATGGCAACCTTGCGTTCTCAAGCCCAGGTTCGTATAAGTTCAGACAATGAGATGGCTATGCTTCTTCAAAATGTGCAAATATCTGAGAACCCTATCTGCCTCTGAGGCGTTTCAAACATGCTTAGCAAAAGTGCAACAAGTATCAGAAGACATAGAGCCTCTGAGATTCACGTACCCAATCATCGTATACTTCCTATCCCATGTCCTGGATGTTGCAGAAGAGACTGAAGGGCGGTGCCTTGTTCAGGGCCTGCGATGCGGTTTAGGGTGTAGGCTTCAGGGTCTAGGGTTGAGGGCTTACGGTTTAGGAGAACTTCAGCTCAAGTTTTGGGATTCTGGCTTACTGGGCTGCTTTTAGGGAACTTCAATTAAGGTACCATTGTAAGGAAACCCTGGTATTTACTATATACTCATATAATGGTTCAAATTAGTTTAAGTTCCTTAACAGCAACCCAGTTTAAGGATCTGGGGTTTAAGGGATTTGGGCGATATGGAACACAGCTTCCGCACTGGAATTTTACAGTAGGTTGATGGGATCAGGAGCAAAGGCCGAAGATACCCAGCTGCCAGCAAGCCGACCCAAGGTCCACAGCGACTGTGAAATACACCTTGTCGCTCTGTTTCCCAAAAAAATTAAAACCCCAGGCCCCAAACTAGTTTGGGGTAGTTGCTTTCCTTCCTTGCCCATGGGAGATAACATGAAAGGAGGATATAAAACATGGATCGCTATTAAAGCTGGCAATAATAGATGAATGCCCATCTTATTCTCAAGGATCTTGTTTCCACATCCTTTTGGGGCCTAGATTACCTTCAAACAAGTTGAAACTCGTCCAGTTCACTTCGAAAACCTTTGTGCAAGCAAAGGAGAAAGCCGGACGCCGCACAATCCCATGGATTCGGGTCCATGGGTGTTCATGAACCCTAAACCCTAAACCCCAAACCCTAAACCCCATGCCATGGAAGGATAAGGAGGCTTCCAAGGTACTCAATCATAAAACATCCTGAACCCAAACCCTACACCCTAATCCCTGAGCCCTAAACCCTAAACTTAAGGACAAATCCCCCCCTCTGCGAACCTACGTGCTAGTGTCTACCCAGCTGCACAGCTACCTTGGGGAATAAGTGAATGTAGTATATAGGGATGTTATTCCCTTGTTCCTTCCCTGCTAGCAACCAGTAAGGTTAGCAATGGCAGAGATGGCTGTCATTTTCACACTCCCAAGGAAAAACAACATTGATTTGAGACCTACATGGGCCCTCGAATGCACTCCCTAATTCCTAGTCCCTAAACCATAGCAGGTTCGGCATAGGACTCCCACGAGGTACCAAAGCCTAAAGCCCCCCCCCAAACCACTAAACCCTAAACCCCTAAACCCTAAACACTAAAGCCTAAAGCATTGGAGTGCCACGGTAAGCTCTACAAACACTCAACAGTATCAGACGCCCCCGCATCGCTTAGGGCCCGCTTGGGGGTTTCCAAAAGATGGTAGGCCCAGGGATCCCGGTTTAGGGTTTTGGGGGTTTAAGGGTTTTAGGGCTTTAGGGCTGTAGCGGCTGTAGGGGTTTAGGGGTTTAGGGTTTTAGGGGTTAAGGGGTTTAGGGTTTTAGGGGTTAAGGGGTTTAGGGTTTGAGGTGTTTTTGAGAAACGCAGAATCAACTACACCCGTCCAGAAGTCCCACTCACAGGCGCTCAGAAATTTCAGGACAACGGAATTAAGTCTGCTACCCAAACCAGGACCTGCCCTATCATCATCAACCCTATGCATCCCGGTACCAAACTCACCGTAAACTCACCCCGAAACGTGTCTGCTGTTCACATCTGCTCCTCTCTGCCCCCCGGACAAGAGCTGGTTAAGATTTTGGGCATAGCACCTGTGCCCCACTAGACCTAAGCTTTGAACTTGGGGTCCTTACGTACCTAAGTATTGCAATGGGGGTTTAGGGTTATAGGCCCCCTTAAGTAGATAGAATATGGCTTTGGGTATCGGTATATTATAATAAGATCCCCACATACCCCATATTCTATCTACTTAAGGGGGACTATACCCTTTAAACCTTAAAGCCTGAGCCCCAAACCCTTCTGTAAACCCCTAAAGCTTGTGCATTAAAACTTTCACCCAAGCCCTGAACTCCAAGCCCCTACACCCCTTGGTCTTAAACTCGATGCCCTGAAGCCCTGAACTCGTAAATCCTAAATTTCTAGAACCCCAAGCCCTCAACCCCCACCACCCTACGAAGCCCCGAAACCCTAAAGTCCAAACTCTTCGCCTGCATCTCCCTCTCGGCTGAGCTCTCGCCGTGCTCAGCCAGCTCTTCAAAAGCTTTCCTGCCAAAAAAGTAAAGGTTGCAGATGTGGGGTCTGCGGGGTTTGCTTCAGTGTTGAGATTTCAGGGCGCCCAGAAGTCTGGCGGTTTGCTTAAGGCGGTGGGGTCTTAGGGTTCAGCATCTAGCTAGGTCTTGCGACCCAAGTGTGAGTATTCGGGAGTTCAGGCTTCAAGCCTGCAGGATTTGGTTTAGGGCATAAGCAGTGCCGTTACAAGTTGTGCACATAAGGAACCACGCATGTTTGTTCGCGGATTGATGTTGAGGCCATACCCGGCTACTTCTATCAGGTCTGTTTACACTCGTTATGATGCGCCAGATGGACATGATCCTGCATGAGGCTGGAGGTACTCCCTTGCGGTTAGAAACAATGCCACGGAGCAGGGTTTTGCATGTGGATCAGGAGTCCAGAACATTTTTCCTGGGGAAAGTACTTAAATATCCCAAAGGCCAACCCAGTAAACCACAACTCTGTCAAGGGTCTACAGTTTTGGTCAGCCTAGGCTTGGGCACTGGTTGATTCAGGGGCCTACGAAGGTCCTTGAAATAGATCTCACACACTTGTAGATTGAGGCGTCTTGAGGCGTCTTTAAACTGCAACTGCAAGGCTTAGCGCTTGGGCTGTACGCTGGGTGCATAGGGGTTTCCCTGGACTCGGTGTCTAAATCATTACCCCTTTCCGGGAGGGGGGGGGGGGGGGGGGGGGG